TTACTCTCAAAATGGTGTTCGGACTGAAAGAGAACACCTACATGATAAAAGTTAAGTACTTGTAGTAGATGCACCATTTTTTTACAAGATAATCATCAGACAACTTTCTTTCAATCTCTTAGTCGACACCTTGTCAACCATCTACTGAAGTCTGAAGTATTCATAGAAAATTGGCATATTGGGGTAATCTAGAGTGATTAAAAATCACTCGTAGATGTTTCTGAGACAACTTGAGGATCATAAGAACAATGATGTCGGTTGTTGCCACACCACATTGAGATGTATAAGGAGTGAAGTTTATGGGTTTAGACCCTATAATAGAGCATGAAAAGATATATTTATGCCTGCAAAAGACCTGAATGAGATCTAGATTAGCCCTAAGAATTCCACACCACCAAGTTATACACCTCCATGACAAAAGCCGATGAGGAGGAGTTGGTCGCCCTGCTCAAGAAGAACATCAATTTGTTTGCATTGATGACATGGTTGTAAAGACCTATAAATAAGTAAACCAATACAGTAATTTAGAAGATATCTTGAAGTCTCTCAAAAGCTATAATATGCGCTTGAACCCAACCAAATATTCTTTAGGGGTTCAGATAGGAAAATTATTGGGTTTCATGTTGACTAGAAGATGGATATAGACAAACTCTAACAAATGCCAAGCCATCATTGACATGAGAAGTCCCACCATTGTTAACGAGGTTCACCAACTAACATGACGCTTGGTCGCCCACTCTATATTTCTTTACTATATAGGTGACAAGGCTTTTCATATCTTTGCCACTCTGATAAAGAATGAGAGGTTTGCAAGGTTAAAGACTTATTTTGGCAACCATGCCTGTATTAACAAACCAAAATATGGTGTGATATTATTTGTCAGTAACAGACAAGGCGGTGAGTTTCGTACTTGTCCAAGAAAAAGATAAGATCGAGCAAATGGTTTACTTCATCAAGAAAGTGTTTAAGGGTTCAAAGTTAAGGTATCATAAGATAGAAATATAAACAGTGGAAGTCGTGATAAAAACGATGAAGTTGGTGCTCTACTTCCAAGGGCATCACATGATGGTATACATAAATAATTTGATGCACTAAATTTTAAGGAAGCATGATCTGGAGGGGAGGGGTCATGGTTGTTCGAGCTATCCAAATACGACATCAATTTTGTATCTAGAGGCAACATAAAATCTCATGTATTAGCTAATATCCAAGTAGAGTTCGTCTCCTCAGTGGGTGTGGCTCCCCACGTTTGGACATTGTTAGTAGACGACACCTCAAATTGAAGGGCAATGGCTCCAGAGTATTATTGAAAAGCCCATGCAACGTTATCATAGAGAAATGATTGAGGTTCAAACTTAAAACTAGTAATAACCAAGATGAATATGAAGCTCTTATAGTCAGAATGAACTTTTCCATAGATATGGATACTTCAATCTCATAGTATAAGCAATTACTAATTGATCGCCAATCCATACTCCAATGAGTATCAAAATAAAGAGAATTGGCTCATCAAATATCTCCATACGCTCGTAAGGAAACTTTCAGACAACTTCCTTTTGAAGCAAAACAAATCGCAAGTAAAAATACCATGGATCTAAGAATAATACATGGAGTGTATTGAGAATCTATGTTTGTTTTAATCCTTGCAAAATAGTATGTTGATATAAGTTTTTTACTTATTTTAAGAAAGACTTAAATAGTCATTAGGTCCCTGTAAGCCGGCGTGTTTTTCAATTTGGTCCATGAATCTTTTTTTGTTTAGATTTCATCATAATATGTTCCAATCTCGTTGACTTAAGTCCCTGATGTTAAGTTGATGTTTAAAAAAACACTGATGTGTCTAACGAAGCTGAGCTAGATTACTTTTTTAGTTTTATATTAGTTTCAGACTTATTATGTGGCAAATACATTGGATGGTATATCAAACGAGGGACTAAAACAGAAACTCCAAATATTACATCTTCTTATTTTCAATTTGTTTGTCTCCCTCTTCACATTCATCCATGATTACATCCTACGTTGGTCAGTTTGTTCATCTTCATCTTCACATTCCTCTTCTTCTCAGTTTGTTCATCTGAAAACCCTAAAAGGAAAAAAAAGATAAGATGAAGATGAAGCTGGAAAGCAAAAAGAAAAAACTAGTTTAAATTTATGTTTTTCATCCTTGTATCTTACAGTGTATTTTGATTTTAGTCCATTTTAGTTTTTATGTTTTCCAAATTGAGTCTCTTTATGTTTGTGTTTTCATCCATGTTTATCAATAAGCGATATTGCATTACATATATCCTTAAAGGTCTTGTCCAAAATACATAAAGCCACTATCTCAAAATGACATAAAACCACAATGGCATAAAGGTCATGGCAAAAAAACATAAATCCACAACCTCAAAAATACAAAAAGCTACAATGGCATAAAGGAATTGGCCAAAATATATAAATACATGCATAAAAAGGACTTTATAAAACACCAGAACAAGAAAAAATTGTCTTGAGTTTGTCCTCGGTTTGGGACTAGGTCCCTCAGTAACAGGTTCAGTTTGTTCTTGTGTTTGCACTTGATTTTGTGCTTGGTTCTGTGCTTGGCTTTGTTCATGTCTTGCTGCAGTTCCTGCCTCAATTGTCTTTTGATTTCTCTGCACGATTGAAAAATATATCACAATTGAAATAATAAACTACTTTTCTATTTCAGCTAATTTTGGGACATATATATCACAATCGACATGATTAAATACCTCTTTTGTTGTGCTTCCTAGATATATGTTTTATCCTCCCTCTTTTACCCTCAATGTTGGCTTGTTCATACAACCTAAGAGCTTCAAACGATAAACCACGAGTTTCAAAGTCATTATCATCACTTCCATCATTATCCTCATGATCATGTTCTTGAACATAATCTTCGACATCCACATCACCTTCACATACAAAATTGTATCTAACATCCACTTCACATTTACCTACAACATTATCTTCAACATTAACAACATCTTCATCACCAACGTTATCTTCAACATTTACAACAACTTCACCTACAACATTTACTTCAACAATTACAACATCTTCACCCATAACATTGTCTCAACGTAATGCATTAGACGTTCCCTACCAAAATGAAACTTCAATGCAAAACTCCTACCGGTAAGTTGTCATGAACACGCTCTCTAAACGGCTTGATAGGATTCCTCTTTGAATCACCATTGAATCTCACAACTTGCATTCTCCATACGTCTGCCACCGTTCCCAATTCCTTTGCTTCTGAAAAATGCTAATTTGCAGGGACTTAAACGAAAAAAGAAATCTGAACATTTATGAAATATAAAATTAATGAAAAATTATTTGGAGGGAAATAGTATTTACCACATAATAAATTTGAAAATTAATATAAAACAAAAAAAATCCAATTCAGTCCCGTTAGACACATCAACATTTTTTTAACAACAATTTAACATTAGTGGCTTAAAACAACGAGGTTGAAACATATCAAGATGCAATCCAAACAAAAAAAAATATTCATGGATCAAATTGAAAAACACATCAAATTACAAGGACCAAATGACTATTTAAATCTTTATTAAATATTTTAATGTATTTATAAAAATATCACACACACGCGCGCACATTTAAATCTCTCATTTAAATCTTTGTTTGAAAATATAAATTATTGTTAATTTTGTTGATGTATCTCTATTATTAAAAGTCTTTACTACTTAATAACTAAACACAACAGATTTTAAATCTTAACTAACATAGATTCCTTCAATATTTCCTACATGTGAATTATAGTTATATTGTATTTATAAATGTCAAGACAATATTTCGGAATCCATGAAAGGATGAAACAGGAAATCATATTAAATTTCAACTAGTGAACAACGGAGTAAACAGACAAAAACATGGCAGCATCGTCAATAAGATAGTATGTTTTCTCATATTGTTAATATTTGTACAAGAATACGAATACTAAAAATAAAATAAGATGTTAGAAGTGATGAAACATAGAGACTTCAGAGGAACTTAATTTCCCTAACACTAGAAGATATGTATGAATTACAATGAAATGCTTTTAAAGAACTCAATATCACGAGGATTGATTTTAATTCAACAGTTAAAATTTCTCTTAAACTGTTGTGGAAGTTCGGGGAGCGAGACTCGGAAGTGTCATTTCTCTTAAACTGTTGGAGAAGTTCAAGGAGCAAGACTCGGAAGTGTCAATGGACTAAATTTTCATGGTATCAAGAGGCCTTAACACCACATATCTATCTAAAATATTAAGGTAATGGAGGTATGAGTCACCTCACTTATAAAACTTAACATTTCCCAATTTCCTAGTCGACGTGGGACTTTAGCACTTGCACATTTGAAACCCAACAATATCCCCCACTAGTGTGAGTCACACACTTCACTAGAATTTGTCCACACTAGAATCCACTTCCGCTCCTCCACTGAGCCAACCAGGGCTCTAATACTACTTGTTGGGGAAGTATGGGGAGCAAGGCTCGGAAGTGCCAATGGGCCAAATGTTCATGGTTTCAAGAGACTTTGACACCATCTATCCACCCAAAACCTTAAGGCAATGAAGGTCTGAATCACCTCTTTTATAAACCCAACATTTCCTCCATTTCTAGTCAATGTGCGAATTTAGCACTTGCACACTTGAAACCTAATAATTTTATAGCTAATCTATAGTCGCAGACATGGATAATTTGACTGAACTGCGCGAACAAAGCTTTTGTGTGTTTCTCTCTACTATGATTTGTATTCAGGTTTCTGTTCTAACAATTGATATCAGATGACGCTTAATCCTAGAGGTGCAAAATTTGAAGTGGCTCGGTTTGATAAAATATGTAATTTTGGTTTATGGCAAATGTGAGTTAAGGATTTTTTGACTCAGGAAAGTTTACAGGAGGCGCTTCCCGATGAGAAAACGACAAACCTCATAACCATTGATTGGAACGAGATGAGAAGATTGTTGTTTTGATAAGACTTTGTGTTCAGATGACGTGATGAATTATATCTTGGACCTCACAAATCCGAAGGATGTTTTGGAAAATTTGAAAAATCAGTACATGTCCAAGATGCTCATGAATAAATTTTTCACGAAGCAGTGTCTCTATAGCTTGGAGATGTAAGAAGGATGCAATTTACAACCTCATGTCAATGCTTTCAACAACAACCTCGCTGATTTGACACGACTTAGTGTGAAGGTTGACGATGAGGATAAATACATTATTTTACGGTGCTACTTACCAAGCTCTTATAATCACTTGATGACCACTCTCACATATGAGAAGGAAACAGTCATGTTGGATTCTACTTATTTTACTCTTTTGAAGCATGCACAAAATTGCCAAAGTATAGAGGAAGGTGGAGGAAGCTCAAGTGAAGGTTTGTCTGTGAAGGAAGGTCAAAGTCGTGGTAGAGGAAAGGCTAAGGTAGTGAGTTCTGGAAAGAAAAGGAGATTCAATTCCAAGGACAGAAAAACAACAAAATATTATGGTTACAAGAAAATTGGTCATTGCAAGAGGGATTGTCCAAACAAGTCAGGCAACAATAGTTCAACAAATGTAGTTCACAATGATGGTTTTTGTAGTGAAGAGGATTTGATTTGCAATTCATCTATAAATTAAGTGCACTAATGCATGGATCATTGATTATGGGTGCTCCTACTATATGTCACTACATCGGGAATAGTTCAACTCTTTTAAAAATGATTTTTGTTTTGTCTATTTAGGTGATGATAAAACTTGTACTATCATTGGAAAGGGGCAAATTAAAATTTCTTTTTATGATGGTGGAGCGTGTATGTTGAGTGAGGTGTGTTATATTCTAGAATTGAGGAAGAATTTGATTTCTCCTGATACTCTTTATGCGAATGGTTATTCATTCCAATCAGATGGAAATGGAGACATCATGAGAATTAGAAATGGTGCAATGATAGTGATGACGATAAAGAGGACTACAAGAAACATTTATAAGTTGTTATGGTGCATATTTATGGGTGATGTAGCATATTTTGAAAGTGATAATGATGCAACCAAAGTGTGGAACATGTGTTTGGATCATCTTAGTGAACGTGGGATGATGGAACTACGTAAAAGGAATTTTTTGAAGGGTGTTCACAGTTTCACAATTGGGTTGTGCAAGCATTGTGTTCTTGGGAAACAATGTATAGTTCATTTCAAGATCGAGCTACACAAGACCATGAGAATCTTAGACTATGTCCACTCTGATGTATGGAGGCCTATAAAAGTGCCTTCAGTTAGAGGTTCCATGTACTTTGTGACATTCACAAATGATTTTTCTCGTAAGGTATGGGTTTATTTTATGAAATATAAATTTGAGGTCTTTGCCAAGTTCAAATTATGGAAGATAGAAGTTGAAAACCAAACAGGAAGAAAAATAAAGTATTTGCAGTTTGATAATGGAACTAAATACACTGACAAGAAGTTCATGCATTTTGGTGAGGAGAATGAAATCTAGAGGCACTTTTCTGTGAGGAAGACACCACATCAGAATGGTGTTGCAAAAAGATGAACAAGACTCTGATAGAGAAAGAAATGTGTCTTTGGTCAAATGCTGCTCTTTCAAAAGGTTTATGGGCAATAACACTCAATATGACATGTTATCTAGTCAACATATCACCACATGATTCATTGGATAGCAAAGTTGAAGATGATATGGACAGGTTACCCCATTGATATTATTATGATAATGATAAGGTTCAACTCTAATCAACACTTTGATGTTTAAGGACAAAGAACAGTAGCAAACAAAATAAATGGTCTTTAGCAATAATAACCAATAAGTAGAAAATATACCAGAAGAAAATAAGGTGAAAAAAGGTGAAATGTTTGTTTACCGAGTTCGATAAGAAGATCCATGTCTGAGGGAGAAAGAAGCTATCCAATTTACTATACTCAGAAAGTTGTTACAAGATATTACAAATGAGTTACAAGAAAATAAATTTCGCCTTTAGAGTTCCCAAGAACAAACACCTATTTTCTACCCAAGTTTTTTCCAACCTCTCCAACTCTCAATATATGAACCACTCAAGCCAAAGATATCAAGCAGTATTATATGATCCTTCAAGGTAACTATAAAAGGTTTACCTTAAACCTAAACCATTATTTCTCCTTTTTTCTCTAATTCTCTAAAGTTGTCACACTGTAATAACCAGAAGAGATACATATTTATAATTCTAAAACCCAACATACAAAGCCCAAAGCACATCCCATTAATGATTAGAATACAATATTATAAATATCTTATAATATATTTTATATTAGTTTAGGTTATTTCTAAATCTCTCTCTCTCTCTCTCTCTCTCTCTCTCTCTCTATATATATATATATATATATATATATATATATATATATATATATATATATATATATATATATATATATATATATATATATATATATATATATATATATATATATATATATATATATATATATATATATATATATATATATATATATATATATATATATATATATATATATATATATATATATATATATATATATATATATATATATATATATATACACACACACAATATTCTAACATTAAATAAGGGATCTGTAAATTGAATCCGTCAAACCCGAAATTTGTGAACTGCCCAAACCCAACATTCTTGCTGCTTTTCAGCTTCCTGATTTTTAGAAATTTTAAAACATGTTTTCTTTCTCTTCATCACTTAGGTTTTTTAGGCATACTTCAACAATCTCCACCTTGACTTAAATATGTGATGATGCCAATTCAACCATCAACCATCTTGCTCCTCTTTACCATATTGAAACTCTAATCAATAATATTGATCAAATTCAAGGCACCCTTGAATCTTGATCTCGTCACTTGCATCCACTTGTTTCCAATTACCTTTTTCTGCCTAGGTAATCTAACAAGCTAACAAGTATGATTCTTCAACCATCCTCGACTCCACATTACTTCAAATACATCCCGGAACGACCCTGTTTCTGTATTTTGTGATCCTCCAATCACATTCAAAGCATAATTGTTGTACCCCAAAATTTGCCCTCCCTTTTCTCAAGAAATTTCTCACAAAGATCTTCAATGGCTCAAGCTTGCACAAGTGTTGACTAGGCCAAACCACCTCCTAAGCACTGAGACTCCAAATTAGGATTTTGATTTTCACAAGGAAAATTGGACTTCTAATGCCTCAAGTGACTTTCATGGTTCATTATAGGTCCCCAACAATACTCATGCCAAGTTTCAAGTCTTGGATCACAATTTTGCTCAGTCAATTGATCAAATGATTAAAAATCATCTATATTAGGTAAAAAGTCAACTGTGGTCAACCTACATCCAAAATTCAATATTTTTGGCCCATATCAATATTTTAAAGTCATATTCATCAATTGGTAAAGTTTGGATCATAATTCCTCAAGAAAAGTGTTCAAATCATCAAAGGGGCAAAATGGTCAAAATTAGGGTTTTTATTGAGAATGACTGATCAGTGACTTTTGACCTAGTACATGACCTAATGACTTGAATCATGATCTCAAGGGTTCAAAAAAACATGTTGACCTAATTTCATGGCTAAAATCCTTTCTCAAGATCAATTGACTGATAGTTGAAATTTGATCAACTGATGAAAAATCAACTGATTCACAAAAGTCAAACTTTAAATTTTTTGGTCAAAGTTAAGTTTCAAAAGTCAAGATTCATTAATAAATTCAAAAATATGAAGCTTGATCATCAAGGAATCAATAAAGTCGAAAGTCAATACAAAAAGTCAAACTTTTCAAGAATTTTAATAATTTCACTACTTCATGACCTTTTTTCACCAAGATGCAAGATGATTTAAAGAAAATTTTCAACATGAAAGTTATAGATCTTGATGAATTATAAAACTTTATATTAAAGGGATGATGTCCAAAAAATGCTTAGATTTTAAGATATAAGCCCATGAAGTCATGATATTTTCATAAAAACACTTGGTGAAATTTTTGACAAGTTTAGGCAGATTTTTGACCTAACTTCTTAGCCAATTTTCACCTAGTTCCAATTTGATTTTGTCAAAATGTTAAACATGAAGGTTGTAGAAAATGTTTAAAGCTTTCCAAAATGTCCAAGAACTTGAAGAGATCATTCTTGAGCTAAGAGAATCGAAGACAAGAAGTTAGGCATCCATTCTTGAATTATAAGTCATTTTTGTGATGAACACTTGACCAAAACCCTAGCCTATGCTGCATAACCTTACTTTGCAGGCTTCTAACTTGTATTTCACTCCATAATTAATTTATTACACAACTGTTAGAGCTTTGATCCAAGCATTTGAGCCATTATCAAAGTTGCATTTCCATTTATGGCACAAAGGTAACACTTCCATTTTGGAAAAGCAAGCTTTATTGCAAAAGTTAGTGCATTGAGCTTCTAACTTGTTCCTTATGCACACACTAAACCTATAAGATCAGAAGAGGTGTTTTTAAAGTGCTTAACCACTCTACAAGCCTTGTACTTCACATTGGAACAAGATGTTTCAAGCTTACTTCAAAAATAAGGCAAAAATCCATAACATGTGATCTTTGTTTTCTAATAATTTCAAACATCCAAATCTCTTGCTTATATATAGAGGTCATATTTGCAAGCTAGCACATAATTTTTCAATCCCTCAAACACCCTCAAACTCCCTCAAACTCAAAATTTCTCTCAAACTTCATTTTGTGCCATTTATGACTTGAAAGTCCAAACTCACTTTCCACTCGTACGTTCTTCCTCAAAATCAATCACAAAGCATCCATACATCATCTAGAAGTGATTCAGGACCCTGTTACACAACTGTAACACCTCCTTCATCATCATCCATAACCAAAAATAGAGTTCTGGAACTTGACTTCTCTAGAAAATTTCAGGCACTCTCAGCTCAAGCTATGCATTGCATTAGCTTCCTAGAGGTTCAAGGAAGCTAACCAGATCATTACATTATCTTGGGGATTGCTCAAACTCAAAACACGATCTCCATCTGCAAGGTGAGTTTTATTAATGTCTATATCTTCATACAAGTATCATTTGGCTTTTATTTTCAAAGATAAAATGTAGACATCATAGCCCTGAAACTAACCATGTCCTTAGAATTCATTTATGTTGCCTGAGTAGTGTGAATTTTAAGTTTGAACTTTCTGAAAAAATTAGGTTAAATTTGGTACTAGTTAAAATTCGTGTTCAACTTTGATCCATAACTTAAGTTATTTACATATTTGAAATCGTGTTGAAATTTCTAACAATTTTGATGTTTACACTTTTGAGAATGGTTGAGAAATAAGCAAGATATGAAATTTGAAAATGTTGAAGAATAGACTGGCGCGAGGAAGAAGATGAAGTTATCATCAGGACTTGGTTTATTTTAAATTTAGTGTAACTTGTCATAATACCGGATGAAACAGCCACTCTAGTGGCAGGAAGTGCGTGCTAAATATATTACTATGCAAGGTCCTGAGTTCGAGCTCCAGCGAGACCTTTTGTTATTTTTCTAACATTTTCCTTGTTTCCTTTTTTTTTTTTTTTGGACACGTGCCTGGGCTTTCCAGCTTTGGGCCTTGATTCTTTTTACTCATTATGACCCCTTGCTTCCTAAACAACACACAACCCATTATTT